TGTTTCTTCGACGGGAGCCGCGGGCGCCTGGAGTTCCCGACTGTCCGGGGACACTGCGCCCGGCGCCAGGCCTGCACCTCCTCCTCCTGGCGAGCGAGGCCAGGTTCCGGCCTCGAGTCTGCACGAGGTGGAGCGCAGCCTGGCAGCCCGGGAAGCCGCGGGGCCCTGCGCGCCCCCCGCCAGCTGCGGGCCGCCGCAGCCTTCCGTCCAGGAGAGCTGCCCAGGCCTCCAGCGGCCTTTGCGTTGGGTTCTGCGGAGGGCCGCTGTGTGCCCGCGCCTCCCGCCCCGCAGACTTAGCGGCGGAGCCAGAGGTGGGAACGGGCGGGCAGCCGTGCCGGGGCCTCCCGCAGGCACGCAGAGCTCCAGAGCCTCGGGGCCCGGGAGAGCATCCCTAGGCTTTCCGGAAATGGCCACCAGCGCCTGGGGTCTGCAGGGGCTGCGGGACCAGGAGCCTGTTCGGGAAGGGCTGGAGGAACCCTGCCTTCTCGGGACCAGCCCTGGAGGGCAAGTCATGTTCTATTTCTGCTCACTTCACTGACCCTGTGACCTTGCACGTCTTCCCAGTTCCATTTTATGTTCAAATCGTCTGGAGATCTCCGCCCAAGGCCTGTGGTGTCCCAGGTGCTGCTCAGGGTCCTGGGGCGGGTGGGGATCCAGCTAAACTGGTGGAAGAGGGGGAGGGAAACCAGGTGCTGGTCACCCTGCCTGCTGGCCTGCTTGGCTCTGATCTAGATGTGCCCGGGAGGTGAACTGGGGCTCATTTCCTGACTGGAAAAGTGCCAGAGGTCCCATAGGATCAAGCAACCAGAGGCTTTTCCTGACGGAATGAGAGGGGGACACATTGCCCAGTCTTAACCAGTCTATGGATTTGGGAGCCCAGTGTCAAGAAACCCTTCAAAACATTGTTTTAATGCTTCAGTGAGTTGTTTTAATAAACAGTGTTACTCATTATAAGAGTAATATTACCAAAAGTTTGGGAAAACAATTAATAACCTAACCATCCAGGTTTATAGACTGTAAGTATCTTGGCATGTTTCTTAATAGTTGTTAAATAGTGCTGTGACGAGCATCTCTGATGATTGCTCTTGGAAGCGGCCTGTTTCCTCTGGATAAATTCCTAGAAGAGACACCCCTGGGCATTGCCAAAATGCCCTCCAGAGATGCCCGGCTGATGCACGTTCCCACTGGCTGGGTGAGCAGACCCATTCTCATCCTGCCAGCCGACTAGCAGGTGTCAGCCCGTTTCAGTCTCAGAGAAAACACGCCTTTCATCATCACGTTACTTTTAATTTCTTTGGCTGCTGGTGAGATGTTGGACATCTTGTCATTTTACTGTTGGCCATTTGGAAAATTGCCCATTTGTGTTCTTTGCATGTTTTTTGTTTTTCTCTTGGGCTGTGTGTCTTTTTCTCCCTCCAGGGCTTTTGCGATACAGGATTTTAGCCTGTGCCTACCATATTCTCCGCATGCATCACATTTGTGTTTCAGTTTGTCATTTTTTCCTTTAACTTTAGATTTAGCGTTTTGTTTGTGATGTACAAGTTTTAAATTTGTATGTAACCAAATCTATCAAATTTTCTTTCATGGTTTCTGGCTTTGTGGTAAAGCCAAGGGTAGCTTTTACCATGCTGTGGTTTCATATGTGTTTGTCAATTTAATGGATAAATTTCAAAATAAAAGAATAATTTAATGCACGGCGGGGGACAGGAGGTAAGGCTTTCTGTGGAAATCAAATGCCGAAGTGTGTGGCAGGTGACAGTTTCTCAAAAGGGAGAGCTGACTTCTTCACTCCTTTTTGAAGCTAGCAACCCTCAGAAATAAATGCCCCCCCTCTCTCTCAGAGATAAATGACACACACACACACACACACACACACACACACACACTAACTTTTAGGAGGCCACCTCCTGCCCCTTGTGATATCAAAACCTTCCTGTTGGGAGAGGCCCCGGCTTTGGCATAGGGACCTTGAGTCTTTACTCAGGCTCCTGCCTGCAGGTTCCCAGGCTCCCAGTATCCCAGGCTGCCTTCCCAGTGTTCTTGCAATAGACTCACCTGCCACTCGGAAATGGGGGATTCTTCTCTCCCCGAGGGAGGAGAGCCCCTGACATCCCTTTGTTCAGGCCTGACACTTCCAGAACCACAGTTAGTAACTCTGCTTTCCTAGGAGGACGAGCGGTGGGAACAGGGACAAGGGCAGTGGCTGGTCCTCCTGACGGCTCTGAGGCCCTTTGTGGGCCATTGGCCCCCTCTGGACCTCCGTGCTTCCTGTCAAGGGAGCAGAGACTCCCTAAGGACCTTCTCCTTATTACTCTCCGGAAAGTAGGGAGACCTGGGAGACACCCGGGCTACCTGGACCAGAGTCGGTGCCTGAGAGAGACCAGTGGGCCCTGTATTCCAATCTATTTCCCTTTAAAGAGTTAGTGATGCTGTCATAATTATGCTCAAACTAGGCATCATCCCTCCACGTGTGGAAGTGTCACAGTCCCTGGGGAGAAAATGAGGGATGCAGGCACCGACTTGGTGGTGTCCCTGCAGGCTGGGAAATGTCAGGTGCACTGACCCCTCTGTAAAGGGTCTGACCTGAGATTGTACTCACCCAGTTTGTCTAGGTGCATCTCTGCAAAGACTCTTCTTGGCTTTTCAAAGCAAAAAACCCCTGCTTGACTAGCAGGAGTGGGACAATGAGCAAATGATGGGCATGCATATGCTCCAGCCTCTGTGGGAGAGAATGGGGCGGTCCGTGTGCACCCCGGGAACCAGGCAGTGGGAAGTCCCCTCCAGGTGTGCTGCAGAAGCAGGTGGTGGCTGCTGCCAGCCGAGTGGATGCACACACACACCTCTCCATCACGGGCTGGGGGCTGGCACGAGAGGTTTTATTTTTCCCGCTGATTCCTTTCATACAGTTGCAATTTTTGAAGTTGTGAACATTGCTTCCATATATACAAAAGTTAGCTCCTAGGACACATACAATAGAAATGTCTGGATGTCATCGCATGCAAAGAGCATCCCATATGCGCTCCACCCAGCGCCAGTTGAAGGAGCTCTGCCGACTGCATTCAGCTTTGGAAATTCTCTATCTGCACAGTAATTTTTAAAATCTCTTACCTCAGAAATGACTTTAAATGGCTCTATTCAGTTTCATTTCTTGAGTGTCAGGTTCTTAGAATTCTCCTGGCATGAATTTTACCCAGTTTGTTACTTGCCATTTTAGGGGACACCTTGACTTTAAGACTATTTTTTTTTTTTGAGAGGGCATCTCTCATATTTATTGATCAAATGGTTGTTAACAACAATAAAATTCAGTATAGGGGGGTCAATGCTCAATGTACAATCATTAATCCATCTCAAGTCTAATTCTCGTCAGTCTCCAATCTTCTGAAGCATAACGAACAAGTTCTTAACATGGTGAACGAATTCTTACATAGTGAATAAGTTCTTACATGGTGAACAGTACAAGGGCAGTCATCACAGAAACTTTCGGTTTTGATCATGCAATATGACCTATAAACAATCAGGTCAAATATGAATATTCGTTTGATTTTTGTACTTGATTTATATGTTTATCCCACATTTCTCCCTTTATTATTATTATTATTTTTATTTTTAATAAAATGCTGAAGTGGTAGGTAGATGCAAGATAAAGGTAGAAAACATAGTTTAGTGCTGTAAGAAGGCAAATGTAGATGATCAGATGATCAGGTGTGTGCCTGTGGACTAAGTATTAATCCAGGCTAGACAAGGGCAGCAAGACATCCACGGATGCAGAAGATTTCTCTCAAAGCAGGGGGGGTGAGGTTCTGAGCCTCACCTCTGTTGATCCCCAATTTCTCACCTGATGGCCCCCCTGCGACTGTGCCTGTCTTAGGTTGTTCCTCCCTTGAGGAATCTTACCCGTCTCTGGCTAACCAGTCATCTTCCGGGGCCATACAGGGAAATGTAAAGTTGGTAAGTGAGAGAGAAGCCATATTGTTTGAAAAGGTTAGCTTTTTACTTTGCAGATTTATGCCCTGTGGCTTCTATGCCCAGCATTTGTCTCGAGGTATCTTTACCACCTGGAGGAATTATGATACTCGGTAAATTCGATATGAGGCACGAATTCTATTTAAGGGTTGTAATTAGGAAGAAAGAAGAAAAGCTATAGAGGTAGCAGACGGAAGGAAACATGGGAGGATTGATTATTTCTTTGACATATCTTCTTTAAGACTATTTTTAAGGTAGCATTCTAAACTAAAGCCCCTTGGGACGAGTCAGGAGGGTCCAGTGTGCAGCCAGCGTGCATCACAAATGGAAAGAGAGTTTTTTTTGGGGAAGAGCAGGATGGTTTCCAACTCATTTGAGAGTACAATGATTTTTACTCTTTCCTTGCAGAAAATGAATGGGACTAAGGAAGGCCCTTATGCTTATCAGGTGACTGGGGGCATTTGCTCCTGTCCTCTCCTTGGAGGGCCTGGTGGCATCTGGGGGTTCAGAGCTGGGATGGGGAGCCCCCTTAAGAGTAAGGAAAACATACTGAGAGAAGGCAAAAGTGACAACAGCCAGCAGGCATCGGACGTCTTGGACCCAGATGAGCCCAGGTCAGTCCTGCGTGGATTTGAGGACTAGTGCATGCGGGAGTCAGGAGCACCTTCAGGGCCCACGACTGCGCAGAGTGGCATTGGCTGTGGTGTGGACGTGGGAGTCGAGGCTGAGATGGCTCCTCAGATTGTCCCGGTCGAGGCAAGTGCCTTACATCTTATGTGCAGAGGCCACTGAACATGGGCTGCCCCTGGAAGGGGGTGACCTTGGCTCAGGAGTGTCCTTCAGGCTGGGGTGCAGCCTGAAGGGGCCTCAGCTGTGGCCAGCACAGTTGCCTCGCCGGGGGACCCTGGGCAGCTGCCCTGTGCCCACCATAAGCCATCTAGGACACCACTGTTTTGGATGCAACTACTTGAACCTTGTCCTTTGGAAACTCTGCCAGCAGCTCTGTCCCCAGATTTCAGGCACAGAGTTAACTTATTTCAAACCGTCTCAGAAATTTCATACAAAACATTCAGTGGAAGAGGCTCCTGAAAATGTGTCATGAAATTACAAGATTACAAGACATAGTTATGAAAATCTGAAATGGAGTTTTAGCCCCCAGGATTAAGGCGATGGCAGATGAGATGCAGGAAACATGTTCTGCCCAGAGCCTTCCTGAGTTAGCCCCCGGGGTCCTGGGGAATGAATTGGTGCAGAAATAGAAATGAGAAAGTTCACACTTCAGTCTCGAAAAATGTCCCCAAATTCTGTTTCCATTTTCCTTTGGCAGAAGGCAGGGGGGGATCTACTGCATATCCTCTGAGTTTTGGAAAGGTGATGTAGAAAATTTTATATTTTTGTACAGAACTCTACTTAAATCCTGAGTCATATTTGCTGTGAGAGGTACAGATGGTCTAAAGTCTCAGGGATTGATACCAGGCTGTGGCTTCCTTGAGTGGCAGTTCGTTTGGTGCCTTTGGGGGAAGGTAGGGATGTGAGGTCCCTCACCCAAGGACCCTGCAAGACAGGAGCTGAGACATGACCATTGGAAGCAGAGAAGCCAGGGCCAAGCCCCTCTTGGTGCCAAGGGCCTAGCTTCAAACTAAAACAAACCTCAGAATGTTTTCTGTTCTGTCCTGGCAATATTTGCACTGCACCGCCCTCTCAGCCCTGTCAGGAACTCGGAACTCAGAGCTGAGGGGTCAGAGCCCTGGGCCGCGTTAGGGAGGGAGGGGGCCGGTGGGAGGCACCGTGTGTGGGCCGGAGCTAGGACCTGTCCTGGGGTGGGGGCTCATGGCCCAGAGGACCTGTCTTCCATGGTGGTGGGGCCAAAAGCTGAGGTGAGGGATGAACTTGTTGGGGCACAGAGCCAGGTGAAGTGGGGGTTCCCCTCCCTTAAAACAGAGAGTCACACAGTTTCCCCAGGTTTTCCTTGGTGAGCTTTTGATTGACCGTGTTTCACTCCCCTGAGTGTGGCGAGTGTGTGTGTGCTCATTCTTCAGACCCAGGGGTACAGTGAGGTCGCATGACCCACCCCAGGGCCGGGATGGAGGGGAGTGGTTGAGCTGCTCCCAGGCCCCTGGCGAGACGGTGTGCGCACGGGGAGAGCTGGCAGGTGTGGTGGAGGTGCAGCCCAGCTGGGGGCGCCCTGGGATGGGAACCAGCTGCTGGACTTTGGCCCTGCATTCAGAAACCCTGTTCCCTGGGCACAGCAAAGACGGTCTGTACACTCCCAGTCCTGAAAGGTGAGGAGGTTGACCAGCAAGAACCACTGCAAACCCAGCCGTCATTCCCAGAGGGGGAGAAGCTATGACCTGGGCCACATGGGCCCACCGGGCATTTCAGTGGCCCACTGCGTGACTTACCGCTCAGTTAGGTTAGCGGCTGGGCCGGATGGCCTGTCGTACTTGGCGGGGCCCGCTCACTTTACAGAGTGCCCGAGTGCCTTAGTTCACCCTCATGCGTGGAAGCACATCAGACCTTGCGTCAAATGAGGAGGTCAGGGAGGGTGTTTGCCACCAAGCCAGGCCCAGAGCAGATGGTCTGTGTCCGGGAGAAGGAGGCGGCAGGGGGTCAGACCCTGTCGGACCCCAGGCTACTACTATTATCCGCAGGCTCTGGGGCCAAGCGTAAGAAGGGACAGGAGGCCTGTGCAAATGCTGCCCAAGCAGCCACATGTGTTCCGAGAGCCTGGACAGAAGCTGCACAGTCTGAGGTCTTCAGGGCAGAGGGGCCACCTCGAGGGTCCCTGTGAGGGCCTAGAAGCTCCTCCGTGTGGCCCCCACTCCGACAGCCGCACAGAGCCCTGGCATACTGGACAAGGGCCTCACCTGCAGCCCTGAGCAGAAACCCAGGACGTTCAGGGCACACCCGAGGGAGAAGTAAGTCTGGTGGTGGTTCCTCTCTGTGAATCAGCCCCGGTGTCTGGGGGTGACCAGAAAGGGCAAAGCGTGACTTCCGCTTGGGACCTGGAGAACAGGGGGTCTCTCTGTGGCGGGTCTGCGGCGACTTCCTGAGACATGCACAGCTGTGGACATGTTACTTCAAGTGGTGTTGGAAGACCCAGCCGTGGGGGCCACTGGGATGGAGGAAGAAAAGCCTAGGACAGAGTATTTGTGATTGAAAAAGGCACTTTCCTGAAGAATCCAGGGCTGACTGAGGAACCAGGTGGGCGAGGTCACCTCTCAGATGTCCCAGCACGGCCCACCCTGGGCTGCACCCGCTCACCAGAATGGGGCTGCTTCTCCGGCGGTCGTCCGGGGGTCCAGAGACCCTGGGCCTTACAAACAGGCGGATGGCAGACAGCTTTGTTCAAAATATCCTGCCCCAAACCCAGGACTCTTACCCTGTTTTGATAAAAATGGTAAACGTTTAATAAATATATTCCTGTCTCTACGCTTGACACTACCTTCTCATCCACTGGAGCTGATACTTGAGCAAAGATCCACACTCAAATGGACGGGCAATACTGAACCTGAGACCCTGACCTGGGCCACGGGTTCAAGGCACGAGTCCGTGCTGGCCCTCCAGAGCCCAGGGGGCTCCCGCCTGGCTTGACCGTGCAGAACAGAAGCTGCCTAGGCCTCCGGGGAGGTGGAGCTGCACCTGCCTTCACGGGAGAGACAGGCTGCAGGTACCCTCCAGCTGGCTGCTCACAAAAATAGAAAAAAGAAAAAAAAAAATGAGGGGAACTCGCCACACGCATGAGGTATGAGGGCTTGAGCAGCAGCAAAGACAACTGCAATGGCTCACGGCTCACACGCAGTTTAAACCCATGGTTCACTATGACACTTAAAACCCCAGCTTTGAGGGTCCCCTTTGGGGGGACATTTCTCATCCTGAAGGCAGGCAGGTGAAGAAGAGGCTGCCGCCTTCCCTGCCTTTCCTGCGGGGACTGTGCCGCGAGGAGGCCTTGTATTAACCTATTCCGACTCACACATGTAAATGGAAGGAGACGAAGAGAATCCTACCAGCCCGCACCTCCCGGGGTTTCCAGCCCTAGGGCGGTGGCTGCTGGCTCCCGCAGAGGGCCATCTGGCCACCCTGCACCCGGCAGAGGACACGGCGGCTCCGAGGACTGGCCGGGGGACGGGGTCTGCATGTGGGGGAGCCCCTGGCCCAGCTGCCACCTGTGGGGTGCCCACCGGCTGACAGGCTGTGTTGAGCCGCATGCAGGGGAGGCAGCCAGTGGCACCCAGACCCAGGGCTGCTTGGCAGGTTGACGGCCGGGTCCTCACCAGGGATGGAGATGGCTTTGCAGGTGTATCACCAGGGCTACCCTCCTCTCCCCAACCAGGGACACCGGGTGTCTTTGCAGGTCTCCCCAGGAGCACCTGGTGGGGTTCCTGGATGGGAAGCCTGCCCACCATACCCCAGGACTTCTCACTCACTGCCCCACAATGGCCTGTGGCAGCTCCTCAGAGCCCCTCTGTGTCCCTGCCACTCACACTGCGGGGCTCCCCTCCGGGTGGGTCCCGGCTGGGCTGGTCTCCCCAATCCCATCTCCCACGTTTGTGGGGGCAGCTTGCCCTGCAACCTCAGCGCTCCGAGGGGCCTAAGAAGAGGCGCTGTTGTGTTGTGCAGCTGTTCCTCACCCCGAGCGTGTGGGCTGGGACCAGAAAGGTCTGCTCTCCGCCCCGTGCTGCGCCTTCTGGATCTTAGACGTTTCCCCTCCTATTTCCCCTCTGCCTACCGTTTCCTTTCTTATGTTTCCTTTGGTTTTGGGCTCTTCCCTGCTAGCTATTTAAGAATGAATGGGGCTCTGAGCCCAGGGTGTGCTGCCCACCCAGCTCTGCTGCTGGGAGGGGGTCTGAGAGGGAGGCAGGCAGGAGCGCTGAAGTAAATGCTGATGCATTCAAGGGGAGTCCTCAGTACTGTGGGGGGCTTCACAGACCCTCTGGGAGCCCCTCCTCTTATGAGGAGGGCCTTAAGCACCCTCATAAGTTGGACAAAACATGTCCTAACTCAAGTCTATGCACATAACGGCAATGTCCTTGATATTCAGATTCAAGGTCACCATCATAGACTTGTGTCTTAGATTTAATCAGTGCAATATTTGCTGAGTTGGGAAAGAATTGGGTTTCCTTTAAAAGCAGTAAAAGTCAAGAAGAAAAAGCCAAGGAGATTGGACATCTAAAGGGGCAAGGTCCTCCCCTTACTTGGGAAATTGTCTTCCGCTGCGCCCAAAGCGCCGAGGCCACGGAGCTGGGTTCCCTGCAGACAGGACATCTCCACTGATCTCAGCAGAGCTTCGTGCCCACCCAGGACTTGCCGGCTCCTCCTGGCAGCCGCTGCCGCATGGCCAGCATTGACCTTTGCCTGGTCAGGTAACTCTTGGCATGCTTTGTCCCACCTTAGTTCCAGCCTTCCATGTTTGCAGCCGGGGTTGGGGTGGGGGAGGCCAGGTGGCAGCGTGCTCTCCTTCCAGAGTGACGTGCAAGGATGGGCATCCAGAATCTGTAGGGACATGTCCAGAGACGGGGAGATTCAAGGTTTTCAGGGCTGGGGTGCAGGTGGGGTTTAGGGAGGTCACGGCTATGAAGGGCACCGGGTGTTCCTCTGGTGATGAAGAGGCTCTAAAATCACTGAGGTGACGGTTGTGTGTGTGGTGAATGTAAAAGTGGCTGTAGCGTTCACCAGATAGGTAACTTGTACCACAAAGAGCTGTTTAAAATACCCAAACAAGTAGATTCTCCAGGCTGGCACTGGAGGGGTGCCACTGTTCACCCCCTGTGCCCTGGGCCTGGGAGAGGCTGGTCAGGCCTTTCCTGGAGTGCGGGGGGCACAAGGCAGTGCCAGGCCCTCACTGAGGAGTGGGGTGGGGAGAGCCGAGGCGTGTGGCTTCTGTATCACCCCCCTGCCCGTTCTGTGGTTCCGTCCTAGGAGAGGCCTTCGTGACCCACTTGGCTCGGCTCGGAGGGGCCTTTTCCTTCTGGTCTTTTCCTTACTGTGGCGGCAGGCACGGGGCAGGTGCGTGACCACCGGATGCCCACCTCTGGGGAGGCTCATGGGTGTGGACTCATCCTCGGAACCTCACCCAGGCCCTTGAGGGGAGCGGGGAGCTAACAGATACCAACAGAAAGCGCAAGAGAACTTACGGAGTGTTTGCCTCATGCCTTCATGTGCCTGATCTCGGTGACACAGAAATGTGAGTCCAGCCCTGCTTCCAAGACCACGGGGAGTGGGGAGCTAGTCCAGTGAGAACTGGCCACTACAGATGAGGTAAGGTAGGCTGGGGAGCTGGGGCCCCATTGGGTCTGAGTCAGAATGCAGTGGGGAGCCACAGAAGGGCGTTGAGTAGTAGTGGGGTAGGACCCGCATGCCACTGCCCTCGTGCTGGAGGGCCACATTGAGGTGTGTGGGGTGCTCACTGCACAAGGGAGGCCGATGCACCCAAAGGCCCTTATGGATGAATGGTGGCCCTGCTGGGAAGGAATGGGAGCCATAGACTGGTGGAGAGGGTGGCCCCTAGTCAGATAATGGGGGGCGGGGCGATCCCTCGGGAATGCACAGTGGTGGCCCCTGTGGGAGTGGAGCAGAAGAACAAGGAGTGAAGAGACACCATCTGAGGGAGAGGTCATGAGCCCTGTGCTGAGGGAAACGGCAAGGGCGGGCGCCATGGTGGGAGGGACGGGGCTTGCTTGAGGGGGCCCCCTTGGGGAGGGTGACGTCAGGACAGAGGTCTGGAAGGGGACAGAGGAGCTGGAGCCTGAATGCAAGGAGCCGGTGGCAGGAGGTGGGAGGCAGGCGGCAGGACAGATGGCTGGGGCCCCAGATCGGGGCCTGGCTTTGATTTTTTCCACGAAACAGTCAAGAGTAAGTTGCAGACACGATGCTCTTTAAATAGTTTTGTGTGCATTTCCTAAAAACAGGATCATTCTCCTACCTCAGCACAGAGCAGTTATAGAACTCGGGAAATTAATGACACCATTGTTACCTAGTCTGCAGAACTCATTCAGAGCGCCCAGCCCCATAGTGATGTCCTCTGTGTCCTGGCCAGGATGCCCTCAGAGGTTGCCCGTGGCTTTCAGCCTACTTTGATTCAGTTGAGTTTGTCTCCATGACCTTGACGGTGTTGAAGCCGTCTGGCCAGTCGTTCTGCAGCTTGTCTTGAATCGTGACCCTGGGGGTCAGAGCCAGGGACAGAGCCACCCACTCTGGGACAACTGTTTGCCCTTCCTTCATTCTTTTGCCCAGCAGGTGGTGTGCAATGGGCACCAGGGAGGGGCCGGGCAGCTGTCGGGAAGCCTGCAGCCTGACCTCTTCATCCCGTCCGACCCCCAGCTCTGTAAACAACTTGCCGTCCATACGAACATACCTGAGGTCTGCGCTTCTGCCCCGCCCTGCGGACCGGACCCTATTCACGCAAGCAGGCTGTGTTGAAAGCCCCAAACTCACCTTCTCACAACACAAAACAGCCTTCCGTGGCCGGGAGCCACAGTCCAGCTCACTCGAGTCTATCAGTCCTGGGGCGACTTCTTCAACCCCCATCCAGCACGACGCCAGCTGTCCGTCTGGTGTCCCCCCGTGTCCTCTCCAGTCTTCCTAGGTCACTTTTCATATTTGCAAGAAAACAATCCTGCATGGCTGTGTGGGGACACCTGACAGGTGCGGAGGGGAGCAGGCCCTGCTCCACTGCAGGCATCTTTCTAGGGCAGGAAGTGATTTAATCTCTGGTCTATTAAAACATTTCTAGTGCTGTCCCCAGCATATTGGGGAAAATTTGGAAGCTGAAATTACAAAAAAAAATTTAAAAGCACCCATGGCGGGCAACCATTTCTAACTTATTTGTATTCCCTGAAGGCCTGAGCTTTTCTATAATGAAACTGTCACCTGGAAGTAGGGAAAAGCCACACAGGGCGGGGCTGGTTGTGGGGACACAGTGCAAGAATCTGGGACAGGCCCGGATCCCTCAACCAGCTGGTCATGGGTTTAGGTCATGGCCCTGCTGCCCAGTGGCTGAGGGGCCATGGGAAGTTGTCTCAGCTTCCCTATAGGTACAACAAGGCAATGGTTCCTGCCACCAACGGTTATTGAGGCAACCGTGTGACATTATGGTTCATAGTAAGCCTCTAATCAATGACAACATCCACTCTCCACCTTTCAAAATCTAAAGGGTGCTTGCCACCCTTGGGCATGATGGAGGTAACCAGCGTTCACAGCCTCAGTGGGCACCTCCCTCAGGATGCAGGGGCCACATGACTGAGGGGACACAACCATGCCTGCCAGGCCTTCTGGGGCAGTCCCCATTCCCTGGTCACACACGCGTCCCGAGGACCCTCTGGAAAGTTGGGTCCATGTGACTGTGGATCTTGGAGGTGCTGTTCGGAAGCATCTGGACCATGGCCAGGCTGCCCATCCGGCTGTCCTACTGTGCAGGTAGGAAAATAGGAGAGACTCCCCCGAGCACCCCAAAGCCCCAGGCAGCCTTTCTCTCCACAGAGCACGTCTCCCTGCTGAGCACCTGCCCTGCCAGGCAGGCCCTGCAGCGTGCAGGTGTGCGGGCAGCTGGTCAGTGAGACCCAGCCCTGCCCTCCTGGTTCTTGTCCAGTGGGGGTGCAGGTGAGGAGGCGCCCCGGGAAAAAGGGCCCTGCAGGGTAGGAGGCTTCCTGGTCTCCTGTTGTCATTGGTTAGAGGCGTACTAGAGGAGACACCCTTCTCTCCACTGGGCAGTAAACTGATCAACGGGTTCCTTTCATAAGGCATGCGGTAAGCATGAGTCTCCACCAGATCTGTCGTTCCTGTTTCGGATAATAGGAGTGGCACCGGGCAATGGCCTGTCAGCCTTCTGCCAGCGCGCTCTTCTTTCCAAACTGCTTCCTGGTGTGGAGCCGCACCCCCTCCTTTCCCAGGACTGGCTTGGAAGTTGACGAGACCCTCCAAGAACAGGATGACCGCAGGCTCCCCCTGAGGGGCTGCGGCAAAGGGCCAGCTGGTGGCAGGCTCCCGTCATGGAGACGGGTGCGAACACTGGAGCATCACTGCAGGCCTCTGCAGCCCCCGCTGGAACGTTCACACGTGATCTCCTGGGGAGGGAGCTGCTCCGGGGATGGTGGCTCATTGCCACCCTGCCCCATGGGGGCCATTGGCCATCTGTGGAGGAAGGACCCTGGTCCTGCCTGCTGTTTCCAGCGTGGGGGTGTCTGGGTCCTGGTGCTGACATACGTAAGCCAAGGCCGGAGGGAGCCAGCTTGGTGATGCAACGTGGGCAGCAGGCTGGAGGGGGTATAGATCCCTACAAAGTTGAGTATTAGATACCCAATAGGTACCTGGGGCTGAAAATGGTCCTAACTGGGCCAGCTTCTTGTCCTCCACCGTTCACAAATCCCATAGAGGTGGCCACACTGACCCTGAGCCGGAAACCTGGGGTGCTAGATTGCAAACAATGGCAGTAAGCGGTTTCTACCCCACATGCCTGCACCTTTGCAAAGTGACTTTGCTGCTCGTCCAGTCAGGCAGGGGGTTGATTTCCACCCCTTGACCTTGTGACTTGCTTTGGCCAACTGGACATCAGCAAGCATGATGTAAGAAGGCACTTCAATGTCCTTGCACATCGGGGTTTGCTGATCTTTGGAGCCCTGAGACGACCATGTGAAGAAGTCCAGGCTAGCAGAATGGAGACCGACGGGCCCCCGGGGCAGGAACGAGCCTTCCCAGCCGAGGTCCTCATCTTGATCATCCGGCCACCAGCCAACCGCTAACTGCAGGTGCATGAGACCAGCTGAGCCTGTTAGGAGAACAGTCCAGCCGAGCCCACTCTGAACTGCTGACCTAGAGAAGGATGAGCAAATGAAATGGTGGTGGTTTTCAGCCACTGGTTTGGGGTTGGTTTGTGATGCAGTTAAAAACTGACTGACACAGAACCTGGATGCGGAGTGGGGGGCTTCTGTCCACAAACCTAAAGCATGTGGCCTTAGTTTTGGGACCAGGCCCTGGGAATAAATAGAAAGGTGGCAGGGAATCGATCAGCAAAAGCTGGAAAAATGGCGAATTGTTAGTGGGGTCTGGGAAGACAGTAAAAAAATGCTATAGCTGAGGGAAAAATGGTATTACACAATCACTAGACAATTGCCAAAATGTTGTCTGTTGTAACTGAGAAGATGGAAAATACACGTGGTAAATTTGTGGACCCAGCCAAGAAGATTTCAAGGTAGCATCTGAAATTGTCAGGTGGCTTCTTTTAGCTCTGTGAGAGCCAGGAAGAGGCACATGGGCTAAAATGAGAGCCTCTCTGTTTGCAAGCATAATTTAGGGAAAACAGGCACCTGGATTAAAAACTATAAACATTTCCCATCTCAAATCTCTCCACCTGGCAAAAGATGATAATAGTAAGAAATGGCCACAGGATAAAGATCACATCAAACAGGCAGCTTAAGCTCCTTTGTCAAGACCTCAGAAAGATTCCAGGCACTGGCTAGGACATCCTCCCAGATGGACGGGAGAGCTTCTAAGAATCCCAACAGCGCTGTCCCGTGGGCCCTTCCCATCCTGCCCAAAGCAGAGAGAGGCCCATCTAGAGAACTGTGGGTGTGACTGCTGCTGAATGGAAAGGACTAAACTCAGATTCACAAGAAACCCACGCAGTTTTAAAGAGTTCTACTAGAAGCACCACAGTGTGAAACGCACAGGGCATCCAGAGGCCCTGCTCTCTGAGCAGCACCAAGAGGGGGAACACCGGCGGCTGCCAGGGGCTGTTTCCCGTGGGCCCGCACGGACTCCTCGGGCTCCTCAGTGGCAGTGCGCTGCAGTCCGCCTACTCGGTGTGTTCTCACCCCCCGCCCCATGTGCGCTCCCTCAGGTGGCCCCCACATACGTTCCCCACATCCAAGTCCTTCTCCCAGGGTCTGATTTTGGAAAAACCAGACTATGATGCTGGGTGCCCTTATTTCGTCCTTGACCTTAGTGGAAAGTCCTCTAGTGTTTTCCAGCTTGTATGATGCTGGGTAATTTCTCCTTAGAGCAACCCTGCGCCTGGTGAGAGGAGATGTGCAGGGAAAAGCTGAGGAGTCCTTTGAGGGTCCTGGCCAGTGAGGAAGTTGGGTAGGACACAGCACTGGTGCCCTCGGGCCGTGGTGTCTAATTCAGTGCTTAAAAATTGTTGCCTATACAGTAGTGCCACCTCCTGCCATTTCCCTAAACTTTCAATAAAAGTCTGCTTTCCATGAAAAAAAGCATGATGCTGGAAGACAGGTATGCAGCATCCAACTGTTCTCTTATCAAGTTTTTTTTTTAAGGATTAGTTGTTAAATTCTGTCAAGTTCTGCTTTAAGAACATCACAATTTATTGGTTGTTGTCCTGATGGACTATTATGCATGTTCTTGTGCATGAGTGCCAGGAAACTTGTCCATGCATTTTAGGGGGCATATATGGTGGGCATCTTTGCACTGTTACGAGACACCACCAGTTTTCCAAAGGGGTTCTACCATCAGGTTCCCCCCAGCAGTGCCTGTGGGGCTGAGCTCACCCACACTGTTGTCAACATTGCTATTGTTAGTTTTTCTTACTTTCAGTCATTAACCGGATGTGAGGTGTATTTCATTATATATTTAATTTTCATTTCCATGACTACCAAAGATGCTGAGTGTTTTTTCCCATGGTTAGTGGTCACTGGATACACTCTTTGGTGAAGTTCCTGTCCAAGTCTCTTGTGTGTTTTTTTCATGGTGTTAACTATCTTTTTCTTATTAACAGATTAAAAAATAGTAATCTGGAAATGACTATTTTTTGGTTACATACATTGCAACTATATCCTGCTCTCTAGCTTGCCTTTCATCCTTTGCAGGGCAACTTTTGATGAAGAGAAGCTCTCAGTTTTAAGGTAGCTAAAGTTTCCAACATTTTCCTTTATGGTTAACTTTTTTTCCTTTGCCCACTCTGAGGTTAAAAAAAATTTTTTTTTAATGTTATCTTTTAAAATCTTTATATTTTTGCTTTTCACATTTAGTTCTACAATCCACATGGGATTGATATCTTGCATAGTGTAACTCTAAAAAATACGAACATTTATTTTGCCCAGAATCATTAATTGAAATAATTCCCTCATCAATGCTCTGCAGTGCCACCTTCGTCATAAATCAGGTGTCCATTTACGGGAACATTTGTTCTGTACTCCCAGAAACAAATTTGCCCGACCACACTGTCTTACTTTCTTGATTACTGTCTTATTAATTCAGCAGTTGGTGGACATTCTAATTTGGGGCAATTATGTCTTATTAATTCAGCAGTTGGATATACCAGTTAGTTTTTCATTCACCAGCGGTTGGGCATTTGGGTTGTTTTCAGTTTTAGGCTATTATAAATAAGGCTGCTATAAATAGTGTACAAGTCTTTGTATGGAAATATGTATTTCTTTTTCTCAGGTAGATATCAAGGAATGGAATCATTGGGTTGTACGGTAGGTTTATGCAAAATTGCCGAATTGTTTTCTGAAGTGGCTGAACCATTCTGCATTCCTGCCAGCGATGAGTGAGTCCCAGTCTCCACATCCTTCTCTGTTCTCAGTGTTGTCAGGGTGTGTGTGTGTGTGTGTGTGTGTGTGTGTGTGTGTGTGTGTGTGTGTGTGTGTGTGTGTGTGTGTGAATTATAATAATTCTCACTGACGTGTAGTAGTACGTCATTGTGGTTTTAATGTGCTTTTCCTAATGACACAAGATTTTGAGTATCTTCTTTAGTGAAGTATCTGTTCAAATATTTTACCTAATTAAAAAAAACGTCTTTGTTCTTACTCTGGAATTCCTTTATATTTTACATATGAGTCTTTTATCAGATACGTGTTTGCAAATATTTTTTTCCCGGTCTGTGGATTATCTTTTCACTTTCTTAACAGTGTTGCTAGAAGAGCAGATGTTTTTTATTTTTGATAAATTTTAATTTGCAATATTTTTCTTTCATGATTTATACTTTTGATGTCATATGTAAGAAATCTTTACCTAACTCAAAGCCAGTAATATTTTCTTTAAGAAGTTTTATAGCTTTAAAATATATGTTTAGGTCTCTGATCCATTTCAAGTTAACTTCTATGCATGGTTCAAGGTATAGGTCAAGTTTGTCTCTCTGTCGGTCTGCCTGCCTGTCTGTCTCCCCCCCTCCCCCCCTCCACCTCTCCCCCTCCCTCCTTCCTTCCTTTCTTTTGGCATATGGCTAGCTAACTGTGCTAAGACTACTTGTGGAAAATACTGTCTTTTCTCCATTAAATTGCCATTAATGCTAAAAATCAATTGATTGTATATCTTTGTGTGTTTATGCCTACTTCTGGATTCTCTGTTGTGACCCATCGATACATGTATCCATCATTTCATCAATGCCATATCGTCTTGTTTAGTGTAGTGGTAAGTCTCGAAAGTTTAGTGTGAATTCTCCAACTTTGTTTTCCTTTTAAAAAATGGTTTGGGTATTCCAGACCCTTTATTTATACTTGTGTATCTTCAAAACAGCTTGTCGATTTAAAAAAAAAAAAAAGCCCATTGAGATTTGTTTGGAGTTGCATGTAGATCGATTTGGGGAGAAAGGCCATCTTAACAATACCAAGTCTTCCAATTCATGAACATGGTATATCTCTGCATTCCTTGATTTTTCTCATCGTACTTCGTATTTTCAGCATACAAATCTTGAACATAATTTGCCTGATATATACCCAAGAATTTCATGGTTGTTTGTGCTGCTCTATATCACACTGCTTTTTAGAAAAAAATTCAAATTCCAATTGCTCATTGCTAGTAAGTGGAAATAAAATCAGTTCTTGACTGACTTTATGTCCTCTGACCTTGCTGAATCATTTATTAATTCTAGTAGTTCTTTTACAGAGGCCCTTGGCAATTTTCCATCTGGACAATCATGTTGTCTACCAACAGAAACCATTTTATTTCTCCATTTCTGTTCTGTACGTCTTTTATATCCCCTTTGTGTGTTATTCCACTGGTTAGGACCTCGGGTTTATTGTTAAATTGGAGAGATACGCCTTTTTTTAAGTCAATATTTAACTTACGGAACTACCAGCTGTTTTCTAAAGGGGTTGTGGCCTTTTATATTCCTACCAGCAGTGTGTGAAGGTTCCAGTTTTTCCACATCCTCACCAACCCTTGGTACTGTTCTCTCCGCAGAGCCGCCAGGTAATTAATTGTCTTTGTTTGTTCTGTAGAGTTTATAGCTGTTATCAGCCGGACGGTTGATTTGTTGAGAGCTTCCTCTTTCTGGACGTGGAATTCTAATAGTATAATTAAAAATTTTTAACTTTTTGTGTGTTATTGGTATTTGAAACACAATGATTTGTTTTTCAAATGTATTTCCAGCAATGTTACTAAGATTGTTTATTAATTCAAATAAAGTATCTGCATATTATTTTGGATTTTCTATGTGCACTGTATATATATATATATATAAAGAAGTTGAATTTCTTTTTCCCTTGTAAATTTAATTCTTTTTTGGGGGTAAGTATGGTGTTAACTAGACTTCCGTGTCTTCTTCTTGCTCTCCAAGGATGTCACCTTTCAGTGGGATATTTGTGGTATGATTTTTTGGTAGAGAATCTTTGATCTTTGTCTGGCTCTATTCGATTCCTAGTTTGTTATGAACTTTTTATCATGAGTAGATGTTGAATTATGTTGAATGCCTTTTCTTCACTATTAAGATGATCAGATGGTTTTTCATTTCTATTTTGTCACTGTCGTGAGGGACAGGGATAGATTTCTCAAATGTCAACAACCCGGGATCCCTGGAACACATTTGGTTATCTTACATTATTCCTTGTATGTATTATTGGGTTTGCTCTTTACTGATTTGAGGAATATTTAGAATCTCTATATATTTGTATCAATATATAAATTTTGGTAAGTTGTATTTTTCTCAGACTTTGTCCAGTTAATAAAGTTTTCAAGCTTATTTGTGTGGAGTGGTACGGATGTCGCTTTGCTCTCTTTGGCATGTATGTGTGCCAGATCTGTAGTGATGCCCCCCTTCATTGTTGGTATTGGTTACCTTGTACCCTTTTCTTTGCCTCTTTTTTCGGGTATTCATCTTTTCACTATGGATTTATCAATGGTATTGGTTTTTTCAAAGAACCAATTTTGGACTTTGTTGAAATTTTCAATTAAGTGCTTTTGTATTTCATTAATTTCTGTTATTACCTGTGTTATTCCTTCCATTTTCTTTTCTTACTATTCTTTGCCGAGTTATTTCTTTTAGATGAAAGCTTAGCTATTGATATTTAGCATTTCTTACTTATTTTTACATACCTTTTATTGCTATAAATTTCTAAGCATGACTTAAGCTGCATCTCACAAGTTTTGATATATTAAATTTTTTTCATTCAGTTAATGTAGTTTTATAGTAATTTTCAAGCATGGGCAAATTTCCTACTTATAAAAATTGATTTCTAGTTTGATTTCATTGTTTCGGGTACGTACTGCTTTGTGACAAACTGCCCTAAAATGGTGGTTTAAAATGACAACAGTGATGGCATTTATTTTGCTTATGACTTGAAGTTAGGTAGGGCTCTGTGGGCATGTCTCAAAGGCTGGAAGCTGGAATTACCTGAAAGTTCATCTGTTCACCTGCCCAGCAATTGATTCTGTCCATCGGCTGGGACCTTACCAGGGGCTTTCGGCCAGAACCTCTCCATGTGTCCTCAGCGTCCTCATGACTTTATGGCTTGGTTTTAAGGGCACGGCCTTTCTGAGAGAGAGAGAGAGAGATATCCAGTGGGATGTGTTATCACCATTTTAGAGGCAGCCTTCGATATCTCACAGCACGAACTCCACTGGATTCTAGTCCTCGAGGCAGTGACAAAGACCTGCCTGGCTCAGATCAAGGGAAATTAGACTTCATCTCTTACTGGGGAGGCCAAGGATCTGGAAGACCTTGACACAGAAATACGGTTGTAGCCATTTTTGGAAAATACAATGTCCTGCGTTCACTGTACTCTACAGGGTATTGGTTCTTTCAAAGTTTTCAAGACTTTGTTGTTAGTTTTTTTAGACTCTGAGGGTGTGTGAGAAGGGTGTGCATTCTGTAGTTGTATGAAGGAACAAAATCTCAGTCAATTTTGTTCACCGTATTGGAGCAAATATTCTGATTTTTATATCCACACTGATTTCCTGTCTGGTCGTTCTATTTATATAGAGAGGGTGTGTTAACATTTCCCACTAAGGTCATGAATTTGTCTGTTCTCTTTGTTTATTCAAAAGTGTTTGCTTTGTGTATTTTGAGACTTTTTATCAGGTACACACAAATTTGGAGTTGTTGCATATTCCTGACAAATTGGTAGGATCGATCTATCAATATAAAGAGTTTCTTTTATCTCTAGGAATGGTTTTGTTTTAAAGTTAATTTTTCTAATATGAATATAGCTACACCTACTTTGATTAATATTTTATGCTATCTTTTCTTCTTCTTCTCCCTTCAATCTTTTAGTATAACTGTGTTCTAGGCATCTTTCTTGTGAAGACTGTCTAGTTTCCCACCCTCCGCCCCATCCGTTTGATAATACCAGGCTGACTATTCATTTCTTTTTGCATTTCCAAAATATCATTTCACTGTTTTTCATGAAAAGTCAATAACCTTAATTTCTTCATCTGTTTAAGAGATTCTCTTTATTGTAGATTTTAAAAGAGGTTATACTACAGTGAATGTTTAGCTATAGATTTATTTTTATTTATTAGAAATGCGCCTGCTTTAAGTTAGATAACTAGAGGTGGGCAACAGCCTGGGGACCATGATCCGTGATAAGTCACGTAGACATGCTTGGGTAAGCAAGAGATAACAATTGAAGCGGTCAGGCAAGTGGCTGAAGTGGCTGGCGTGTTCCCTAAAAGGTTACAATGTTTCCCATTGGTTACAATATAGAATGTGCTTTAAAATTATTGGTTGTAGAAATGCGCGGTGTAACGGCTGTGAAAATCCTATATAAGCAATACCTAAAGTTGCCTGGGGGTCGGCAGCTCGGACTCGGCCCGCGTGTCAGGGGAGGTGCTGTCGGCCCCAGCTTGCTGGCTGAATAAAGACTTTGCTTGGATTTTCATCTCCGTGTCCGTGTGGCTTGTTCTCTGGGGAAACCCCGGAGACCTGGACCCTAACAAAGCCTTCTTGAATCTATAGACTGATGTCTATCATCAATGCCACCAAATTCTCAACCACTGCCTCTTTGAATTTTGCTTCTCCTCCAGCTGTTTCCTCGAGGGCCCACGGGCTCCACAGCCCCTGAGTTCTTGCACACGCAGGCCAGGCCCAGCCTCTAGGGCGTTGGCACTGTGGCCACGCACACAGATGTAGGCTGCCGTTCTCTCCTTGGCGATGCTGTCAATGCTTTTCTGTGTCTTCGTGTATTGAATGTAAGCTGTGCAGGAATTGGAGGCCAGCCTGAGTTCTCTTTGTCTATTAAGGGACTTGGCCATTTCGCTAGACCTTCCCCAAAGAGCCTTTCCTTATCTTTCTTCAAACAGATCTTTAGAGGTGTTCCCTCCCGCCGTCTTGCTTTCCCTCTGTCTGGCCCTCCAACATGTGCC